TGTGTACACATACGCACCTTCATTATTAATTTGGTACCAAATCAAAGTGTGGATGTTACTGCCAGCCATCAACTCTTTAAACTCAGATGACAAGACACTAAAAACACAAAATAAAATCAATAGTGGTATGAGTCTCACTATTTTCTTTTTGCTTTCTGATCATGTGAGGCAAAGGACTTCTAGTGACCCCCCAAAAGTTCTAATCCATTAACCAGAGATTTTAGTTTGCTCCATTGACTGCCTTGATTTTCACTGAGCCTTGACTGAGACTGCTAAATCCCAGATGATATAAGGCAGGTGGCCACTTAGCCCATTATGCAAGAAAACACAGAGACAAGAGTTAAGAAAAACCAAACAAGGCACAAAGCTACAACATTCTACATTAATAAAAGTTTTAATGTACACTCAACTAAAAGATGCATATAAGGATGACGGAATCTCCGTTCACAGGCAGCTAACAAGATTAGAATTTATCAAACGAAAGTCCAGGTTGTGCATTTAAGGATTACAAACTATTAAAGTTGAAGGGGAAAAAATAAAGTTAACAATGGAAGCATTAATGACCTTAAAATGGGATGGGATGATTAAAGAAAGAATTCAAGTATTGTTGTAAAGTTTTTCAGAATCATCTCTGAAAAGCTGTGCATTTCCCATCTTTGCATAGTGAAAACAAACAAAAGACAGCACGTCACTTGGCAAAATACCACAGCTATATGTGATTCGTGTTTCAAACATGCACCTATGTGTACTGCTCACTTAGCCGGGAGGAGTAGCTCTAATTCAGTGGGCTCATGCACTACCCCAAGTGAGCAATGGCGCTAGCGTACACCTCCTCGTCCGGGTGTCATTCATTACCGCAGCAAAAGAATAGCAAGTGAAATGGGAACTCGGTCTTGACTGAACAGTCTTGTTGGGTAACATTACACAGTGGTCAGCTTGTGCTCTGAATTCGAATGGGTAAGAAGGAGTACTCACACCACGAATAAATGGCATGGGCGAGAGAAAAGGTAGTGAAGGGTTTGAAACTTCATAGCCTAACACAACTGAAAATGACGCTAACCTACTGCGTACAGTATGACTGCACTCCCCTTCCCCTTCATGTCTGTGCACACATAGCTTAACACTTGTGCATTTTACACACACACACACAAATAATTTAACATCGGAGCATAGGTTTGCCTACCTATGAAACTGTCAGTGTGACCAAAAGTTACACTGACATTTGTCATATGTACATAATATTTGGGGACCACTGTGGTCTGATTTAAAACACAGTAACATCGCACGTTTACAATGTTGTTTGTGAAATGCTCAGAAGTTAGCAATAGAGATCTGTTTTCTAACTGGCATGGTTTCGTGTCCAATAAAGTCACACGGTGCCTCGGAAATAGTGAAATGAGTAGTGTGGGTGTCAGCTGCTTGGTGTAAGTGGACCCCTTGACAATGCAACAACAGAGAGTGATGCCAAGTTATCTGAATTTTCTCCAACCTTCCTCCAAGCTGAGCCACTGCCTTTCCATAAAGGGGTACAACCTGTGTCTTATAAAACCAGGAATAAGGCCAATAAACCTTATAGATAGCCCTGTTGTTGCTATATGAGCAAACAGCAAGTTCAAGCAAGAGTCTGCATACCTGCATAGCACCTGATTCCCAGAAAGCCACCCGAGGGTTCAGATGTTAGGTTATGGTCTGGGGTAGTATGCAGCAATCAAGACGTCTGCGCTGCGAGTGTGAAACTTCAGTAACTAAAGATATCTGTGAGGGAGGAGGGGAAACTCCAGCTCTAAGCAGCCCGTTTTCAGGAAATCCTCCCTTCTAGTCAAGAAAAAATGTAAAACTCGCTGCCTGAGTTTTGTTGGAAAGGGGTTTAGAGCTAAGTGCAGAGCTTGGGGGTTTAAATTTTAGATGGGGTTTACTGAGGCCATCCTGTACAAGTCTGAAGATGTAAAACAAAGATGGCAGAAAATTTCTCCAGTAACTTGTTGCCCTACCACTTCAATGGAAGCTATCCTGGCTATTATACATTAAAGAAGGAATGGGTGAAGGGAAGGTGAGGGAAATCCAGAGTCTTAGGAATGCCAAGATTCTCTCTCCCCAGCTACTGGAGGGAAAAAAAGATGGCGGGTTCATATGGGCTGGAACCCCATTACAGTCCCCCAGAGTCCACAGGCCAGATAAACACTGAGGGCCAAGCGAGCTCCTGAAATCACCAAGCTGAATGACAGGCCGAATGACCAGAAGGCTACCCGCTACTCTGTCCCATCGCATTGGCGTTCTGAGGCGGGAAGATGAAGCATAAATGAAATTTGACAAAAATATATAGGAACAGAATGGAAAGCTTAACTTTTCTCCAAGCTTTCAACATTTAAAAATTATTAATTTTTATTTAAGGCTTTAAGTTTCTCCTCCTTTCACATTTAAGACAGGGAAAGAGAACTGGTTAAACCAAAAACTAAAATCATGAGCTTGGCACTTTTGTGATTCATTTGAGAAGGGTCTCTGTTTTCTTACATTATATACATGTGCTTATGATGACATCAAAAATTTTAGGCTAATCAGAACATATATACTCACATTTACATAATTTTTGTGTTCTTGATATGGGTTGTTTTGTGTCCTCTGCTTTTTTTTTCTTAATTTTGGTTTCAAGCATAATTGCTTTGTTTTGTGCCCAAACTCTTTGTATCTGGGGCTATGTCTGTTTTGTTAAGCAAGCCCAACAATCATTGGACATGTTATAAGAGAGGACAGAGAAAATGAGAGAAAAGAAAGAAAAAGAGGACGTGGAGCAAGCAACAACTCATGTAGGGAGAATCTTCGCAAGGAAAACATTCCAATATAGACAAGAGAAAATGGCATGTCAAAATCTCCTATTTCCATATTTACATTTACAAAAGAACTATACAACAGCATTGTTCAAATTCCAGATCCTATTTCCAGCGGATGCTTGGTCTAGGGGAGAAAATGATGAAGAAAGGGAATTCAGCAAGAGTGTAGTCTGGCTCAGTGCTGCCGGGGGTTGGTCTGGAGTAGGAGGAACATGGAGGTGAGGGGAAGGGATGGGGCGGGGGCGGGTGGAGAGGATATGGAAGGGGGAAAGGGGGAGGAGGTGTTATCCAGGCCTAGGCAACTTCCGTGTGTTCATCTGTCATCTTCCCCTTAGGACTTCCACTGTAGGTTTTGCTGAAGATCGGCTTGCTAGCTTGGTGTTATATATGCCATGCAGTTTTTTTTATCCTTTCCAAAATTGGATCTTCATGCCACTGGAGTTTGTCTTGGATAGTAAAGGGGAAAATCATGCCAAATCACTTAGAAGATATTAAGTGTCAGCAGGCTAAAGGGGAAATCATTTGCTTTGTGTTCTTTATTGCACTTTGCTGTTCTTCCTTTCTCCTTTAGTTAGAAAGAAAAAAATAGAGGATTCTAAACAGTTTTTTTTTTAATGACATGGTCTTTAACCCCCTCCCCTTTATTGACAGGTGACAGGAGGGTTTACTTGAAGTTATTTCCAAAAGGGACAGTTGTCTTGTACCCCATCCCCATTTCCACATTTAAGTTCTGTAGCTATTACCACCCAATGGTCTTGTTTCCAGACTTCAGAGTTCCGGCAGCACGGCTGAAAACCCATCACACCCAGAACCCAACAGTACAAGGTGGCCTTCCTCCAGTGTGGCTGACTCAGATGGGGCCTTGCTGAGTAGGATCGAACCTCCTCTTCTTGACGTTTCTTCCAGAGTACATTAAAAGAAGATTCGGGAAAAGGGAAAGAAAGACCACAATATTAATCAGATGAGGTTGAGGGATAACGGATGGTAACAAACAATGGTGCTAGTTCCAGCGCAGAGTAACCAGCTCACAAGGAGGCAGTTTCCAAAGTAACCCAGAACATGGAAGAGCAAATGTGCTGGAATGCCTTCCTGCTTCCCCACGAGATGACAAACTTCGGGGAGGATCAAGAGAAACTTCAGATTATTCATTTTCAATCACAAATTGGACTGATTCCAGAAGTAAATGCCATTGCTAATTGATCAGAGGAAAAGCACTACAGGACAGCCCCGAAGGGGCTCCTGTAGTTCCTCCCGAGGAACTACCCAGAAGGTCCTGGAGGTGTTTCCTCTAAGCCCCCCGAGTTCTGTAGCAATGGAAGGCTCTTACATAGGCGGCAAAAACAAAAACAAAAGCCTTGCTGTGCCTGGTTATTTCTGCCTTGGGTGTGTGAGGTGGTACTCCACTATGGAACAAGCACTTTTAATGGCAGACAGAGTGCACGGGGAGGTGGTACACTCAGGAGAATGAACACAGGCTGGGTTAGCCAAGCAAATGCAGTAGTTAAGCTCTGCTGAGAGGAGCAAGTTCAAATGCCTTGCTCACAGTGTCCAGTCTCCTAGAAAGTGACTCCAGTGCAGAAAGAGAGAGAGAGAGAGAGAGAGAGAGAGAGAGAGAGAGAGAGAGAACCAGCAAGACACAACAAGGCAACAACATGAGTTGACTATAACCTCCCCATGGTCTGGCTTCATGTGGGGCATCAAGCAAGGGGCTCATGCATTAGTCTGCAGACTGGCGGGTGCAACACTGCCGCCACCACGGCATCATGCAAAACTGGAGACTGAGGAGCCCTCTGCTCCCTCATTCCCACGCCCACATACTCGGGGCCAACTGGATGCCTTCACAGGCCCTAAGCACCAAAACACTGCAGCAGACTCCTCCTCACCCACGTCCTTCCAAACAAAACACAACCAAAGCTTGAAGCAGGCAGAAAAGTGCCTGCGAAGTTCCTGTCTTTCCCAGAAGACCCACCTGGCTGCTTCTCTTCCAAAATATCAAGCATTGCCGTCTGTAACAAAAATATCCCTTTTCTTTTTTCTGAAACTGCCATTGAAAAGTTTTTCATGAAAGCTTGGGCATGTTGTACTCTGGCTTAAGGACTTAATTCACTGCTGTAAACACTGTTTGCATTAGGGTAGCTGACTTTTCTTACCACCCAGTCCTCTGTGAAGTCAACGATCTTGATTGAGCACAGGCATCGCTGACTGCGCCGGAAGCATAGGTAAGAATGCACGGGGCATCTCTAAAAGTGTGTTTGCCACCAAAGGAACTCTGTGGAGCTCGGGACCTGCATCTGCCATCGAGGCTCGTGCTCTCTGAGAAGATGTATAAGAGAGGTAATTCCTACTAAAGACTCAGGGAAGAGAAACACCAACTGCCTGACCTTGAGAAATTCCCCCAGAGGACCAGAGACCTTGAGAAATTCCCCCAGAGGACCAGAGACCCTACCCAAGTCAGCTGTCCATTGATGGAACTCAGAAGAACCATCAAATGTCAACCCAGAGGACAGAACAAACCCAGCCAGCACTGAACAGGACGTGACCTCACTACCCAACTCGGAATTCTTTCATTCAAATGCAGCTACCGTTCAAGGTCAGAACAACCAGGGAGCCTGTTTTTAAGGAAAGATCTAACATTCTCGTTCAGCCTATCACCCAGGAAACTCTAGTGTCCAAAAGTGTGTGTTCCTCTTAAATGTCAGTTTTTGAAGCTTAGATTGCACTCTTCCCATAGAACAACAGTCTATAGGGTTACCAGGATCTTGGGCCAAACTAAGGAGTCGTTATCCTATAGAGCCCTATGTTCCCACTGAGCAGTACTAACAGCAGTCTGGAGAAGTCCCAACAGTGGAAAAAGCAAGCTGCAGCCCAGGGGAGAGGGAAACCATAGATCAGGAGAGAAAGAACCCTGCAAGCCCTCTGTGAGGTTCCTTTACAGTTAAGCAGTACATCCACTAGGGGCCACTATACATTGAACATTGCCTGTCCTGGATTTTCTACATGTTCAGAAGGCTCTTTCTGTTGAGCTTCAGTGTGAAAGTGAATACTATAATTCATGGGTTCTTGCTGGCTCCCTTTCCAAATTGTTTTGTCTGAATGCCCTCTGCTCACTGAATTTCGAAGGTAATTTTGCTATTACAAGCAGAAAGGTATTTCTGGACCATCATAAAATATCAACACGATTCCTTAGGATTACCATGACAACATTTTTACCATTTTTTTTGTACTTGTGGAAAATCTAAGTTTGTGTCTAAATGCATGTAATTATATACATCCACATGACATTAAAACCTCTAGGTAACAAAAGATGGGTCTTCTGACAAGAATGGAGAGTTATCTACTACTACAACCTTTAACAGAATGATGTGGGAACGTTGTGCCTGAACGCAGGTAAGTGCGTTCATTCATACCCAATGCCCTGGGACTGAGGAAGCAAGCAGAACCAGCTCTGCCAGAACTGGAGTTTTAGACAGTTGCAAGCTACCATGTGGGAACCAAACCCCAGTCCTCTGCAAGAACACCGAGTGTTCTTTACTGCCAACCCATCTCAGGCCACTTATTGTCACATTCTTTATCTGAGTCCCCATGCCCATCAACAAAGACCCCCCAACACACACTTAACCTCTAGGCCACCTTGCATTGAGCTCATTTCCTCGGGAGTTTGAGTCAGGAAAGTCATGCATGTTCCTGGTTGGTGGCAGATGAAGAATAAAGGGTCTAATCCACGGGCTTGGACAACAACAAAAAATGTGGCTCTGCATTCGAATATGACATGGAATTTAGAAGCGAAAGCAACAATTTAGTTATTCTGCTCATAGGGAAACTAGACAAAATTTATTCCACTTCCTAACTTCAAGAAAATTAAAATAATTCCCTTCCCCATCGAGATTCAGTTACTTTTCTGGCTATAGCCTTTCAACTGTCATTTTAGAAGAGGACCAATTATGACAATCTTTTATTTGGATAAGAAATGGAATACAATGGAGCCCAGGCTAACAAAAAAAAAATCGTTTCGAGCTAAGAGAGAGTGCTAATGCAAGTGCTTTCTCAGAGAGAGAGAGAGAGAGAGAGAGAGAGAGAGAGAGAGAGAGAGCCACCTGCGATAATCACAGGCTGATAAAGGAACATCTCAGCAAGAACTGCCCTAAGAGGGCATATAACTGCCCACACAGTCTCTGCTGGCAATGGCGGAAACTTGTTTGCCATTGGGACCTATGGAGATCAGGTGGGATAGTGGGGCAAGTGATACTTTTCCAATATGAAGACACTATAACATGGTGGAACGGCCCACTCTCACTCTGGCATCAACGCCAGCAAATTATCTCACTGTCAGCTTCATGTCCTTCTCTTGCCCTGCCAAGAACTTTGATTTCCCCACAGCTATTACTTGAAATATTGGTAAATACTGTGCGCATGGGCTCACATCTAAATCCTTGGGTTCAAACTTTGGGTGCCTTGCTGACTACAGCCAACTCGACATAGCTCAAGTCATGGAGAGGGATGAGCCGCCACTGAGGCACGCCTGTAGGCAATCTTAATTAATGCTTGATGGGGGAGGGGCCAGCCCATTGTAGGTGGGGCATCCCCTGGCTGGTGGACCTGGGTTCTATAAGAAGGCAGGCTGAGAAGCAAGCCAGTAAGCAGGACTCCTACATGGCCTCGGTATTAGCTCCTGCCTCCAGGTTCCTGCCCTGCTTTAATTCCTGTTCTGGCTTCCTTCAGTGATAGACTATAATACAGAAGTGTAAGACTAACAAACCCTCTCCTCCCCAAGTTATTTTCTGGTCATGGTGTTTCATTGCAGCAGTAGTAACCCTAACTAAAACAGGTGGGTTGCATAAGTAGTTTTCTCCAATGTAATAATGGCGGCACAGTTTATTTTTTAATGCATGTGCAAAATCTAGATCCATTTTCCCTAAGCTTTGGGGAAGATGATACTAAAACAATCTGTCATCTAATTTATCTGTTCAAGTGTCCAGTAGAAGCCAGTTACTCTAGTAGTTTGGGTATCATTATTATTCGGTATGAATTAGGGACTAGGGGCCCGAGAGTCAACCAGGTCAGAGTTAGCGACTCCCTTACCACAGCTCACAACCTCATTCTGTAGACGAAGAGGAAAAGGATGGAGCCAGGAAAAAGAAATGCAGATACAGGAAGAAGCAGGCAGGTTGGTGTGTCAAAGCCTACATTTGTTTTCCACAAAATGCCTCAGAAGTAAGCACAAGATTCTCAGCACCTGGAAACTCAGCCATTCAGTCACGCCTCAGTACCCTCCAGACCTCAAAACAGAGTCTGAATTTACCCAACATAACACACGCCCATTTGACATTACTAATATATCTGAATTCATGAATGTCATAACGAGACCCCCAACAAAGAGTACTCTTTTCTTTTTTGGGGAATTCTACAACTTTGCATGTGAAAGGCCTGTGGACATTAACCAAAGGTTTCAGACTCTATGATCTAAAAAGAAGCAACCTAAATTTGTGTCAATTTCAGATCACAATACATCAAATACATCTGCATAACGTTAAGAACATAAAGTGCAACCCCCCTTCCCCCATATCCACATCCTCCCAAAGTCCTGTGGTTCAACATCTAACTCACAGGTGTGCTGTGAGGAAAGAATCAGTGAGACAGTGGTGAGGGGAAGCGAAGTTGTGTCTCTTGCCTGTCTCCTCCATATGCCTGTGCAGGTAAAGGATGGTTGTGACTCTCCTCCACATCCAACCTACTCAGCAAATCACACCTAAGCGGAGGCGACGGCAGGGAAAAGCGCTGTCTCCCGATCAGTCGCACCTGTTTACCCACCCTCAAAGGTTTCCGGCAGCTCTGCTCTCTCCTCTCCCAGGAATAATGCCCCCATTTCAGGAAGGATTTCCAACAGCGCTATCTAGAACAATCTTCTTTACCAGCCATTTCCAATTTCTGCTTCTAAAGGAAACTTTTTATTTACACTGAACTCAGTGACACTCTGAAAGGCTTCCAACTCAGTACTTCAAATTATCTCTAATCGTCTTCAAAACTGTCCCAGTGGTGGGAAAACTTGAGCATGATTGCTAAGCACAGACAGCCTTCCATTGTGAGGTAGGGATAACAATTCCCAGCTCGATACAAACTACCAGGCCTTGGTAAGATCTAAAGTAACCAGGGTGACAACTCGTAGCATGGAGTACAAGAGTGTCTCCAAATTCCAGTTCCAGAAGTTAAACAAAGGAGAAGTTAAAGCTTTGAGAAACATTCTTGGCCTGCTGCCCCCAAGGCATCAAAGTATTTAGAGCACATTTTGTGCAGGATTGTGCCTTTCTACACTTTATCAGAAGTGACAGCAGAAATCGGAAGGGGCTTTAACGGGGCTCCCCTGGAAGTGTCCCTGTACCACAGTCCCCAAACAAAGTTGGCCGAGCCGGGTTTGAGTCTTGCTTGGTTGACAGTGACAACCCCTCACCCTGTGCCCTGCTCTTCCAATGACTGCACAGCTCTCTTAGATGGAAATCGTTCGCACAGAGCCCAACCCACAAATGGACACAGTGATAAAGGCTTCTCCCCAGGACATGCGGTTCAAGCTGAGAGCCAGCCAGGCTGCTGTTTGAGGTCCTGCTACAGAACAGTGCGCTCTCCTCAAGAACAAAGAAACTGCATCTGGCATCGCATGGCGTTGGGTGGCCATGAAGCGCAGGAGACAGTTTCTTGGGCCTTTGAAATGAATGTTTCTTAAAGCCAAGGAGGTGCACGCCACAGAATGAGCCGACTTTCTTTTCCGGAGGCGTATGTAATTTTTTAAAAGGAAGCATTATAAATAGAATGCACAATTTCTATAATATATAGTGATGTTTTCACAGTAGTGGGGCACTAAGAAAAGTTTTCCCCTGCAATGGGGAAAATCCAAAGAAAAACACACCACTTCTGAGATTCCCCTTATGTGATCCAGGACGGACAATGGTCTAAAATGAGAAGAAATCCAAATAGGAGGGGCCTGTTCAGTTTGCGTGTTTCTGCCAGCATGCTGATGAGAAAAGTGCTATTTCACTAAGTGCAACTTTCTAGACAGCTGTGTAGAAACCAAGCTCCATTCGATAAACATTCCAAGTAGAAGCCCCTCAAATGCTATGGACTTATTCATTAAATCTTAACACCATAACAAATTAGCAGAAAAGGTTCATTTATTTTGATTATATCTTGGTATCTTTTCTTTCATAATCAACTTCTAATAATAATATTTTAACTGTTTTAATTAAGGCCACTACACGTTCCTTCCAAACAAAGCTTCTTCCATTGAGTGGTTGGATGGAAGCAAAATAGGGGCTTTGGTTTAACTGCAGGTTTTATTTCTCACTTAAATTCATCCCAAACAATCTGGATGAAACTTAATTTATGAAAGAGACTATATGGCAGAGGAAGGCTTACCTACAAATAATAAAAACCAAGTCACCAGAGATCGAAACGTATGGAAGTGACTCTCTATTAAATCTGAGATTCAAAATATCCAGAATAGATAAACCATAAATAAGTTTAAAAACGTTAAACACAATAGGGTTTGTCTGTGATTATCCAGTATGGTCTACTTTAATAATCTTGCTTATCAATATGCAATCCAAATTAAAAGTTATTATGAAAGCATAGCAGGCCACTCAGCCATATAAATGTTACAGTAAAGGCCACAAAGCCATTGCTTTCAAATTCTGTTGGTTAGAGAAATAATAAAAGTATTTTTCAAGTATTTGTAAGTAAATAATGAAGGTCTTCAAATTACAAAGTTGCATATGAGGTGATGGCTGAGGTTGTGGCTAACCCCCGTGGACCAGAATCAGTGTCCAGCAGACACAATTAGGAATTTATGTGGTCTCCCTGGTCACCTAACTGTACCCAAAAGCACTCCCGGAGACTTGCTCCTACAAGCAAGAATGTCTCCTACTAAAGTGCTCCGGCTTCACATTCAAGTGACCACCGTCCATTGCCCATGCTTCCCTGTCTGCCTGCGGACAGCATTTGAAGCTCATGTCCTTCCTTTCCAACCCACTGCTGGGTAGAAGCACATTCTTTTTGTGGTTGTGCTCTTAACAACAAAGTCTCGTAGCAGGAACTCAAAACCAGGTTATGTAAGCAGAAAAGAGAGGTGCCCGAGCCACAGAGAAAAAGACATGCGGCATTGCTTACTTAAATCCCCAGCCTGTGCCCCCAAGGACAATAGCTGCTACCAGGATGGCACCAGCGATGGAGCCTATTATGAGATTGGTGGCACTAGGACCTGTGACAAAGGATCATGGGAAGAAAGTCATGTGAGCCAACTACTTATTACCACAAGGGAAAGGCAGGTGAGCAGCTTCCGGAACTAAAAACCTGCTGTTCAAGGCCCCTAAATGTGCTTGTTCATTGCTTTCTTGTGTTAGCTTTAATCCCATCCGGACGCCTCCATCAGTGATCGGTTGGATTAGTTGCCTTTGAATCTACCCTTTCCTTGCCATTAATGTTAAATTCATGTTCCTGAAAACCTGAAACAGAGCAGCCCCATCTGCTTTCAGGGCACGTATGTTGTCTTTTTCCTCCTCTTCCCCCATATCATAAATCAAACAGGTTTGTTTGTGCAAGGAAAGAACACGGCTCCATTAGCACGGGCTCCAGCTGACTGTCAGATACAGGAGAGAAACGATCCTCTGACCATGCTTCTCCACCCAAGAAGACAGCCAACACAGCACATTCTGGATGGGTTTGACAGGGAGATTTTAGTCAGAAAAGGTCAACCAATAAAGATTTGGCTTTGAAATTTTGTCCTCAGATATTTCTTCCTGGTTCTTCAGTATTAAACCCCCCAAAATAGGCCTGCAGGTACGGGAGACCTAAAATTTATAAAAGAAATCTCTAGGAAACAGAGGAGGGGAAAGACTTCGTTATATTCCATTTGAGGATATCTTTTAAATTTTCATTTCTCACTGAGAAATCTGAAATATGGCAACATATTTAAAAAGTGGAGAAGACGTCAAAGACGACAACATCGTGAAGAGGCCGCCATTGGTAGGTGGCAGAGATTACAGTAACTCCACTCTTCTCCTGCATTCATCCCTTAAAGATCAAAACAAAGGTATACATAGTTTACATGTTTAAACTAAGAATGAAATTGCACACCCTCCAGTATCTACTATGCATACATATAGCAGTGACCCCAATATTCAAATACCTTCAAGCAACATATACCTGCCCGCAAGTGACAAACTAGCCAATTTTGCTGGTTTTCCTAAAACCCTTAGGTTTATTATAGACATTCATCGCCAGATAGAAGAATCTTTCTTTTCTCCTCACAGTAGTGGACACCGTTGGTGATGTCATCACAACTGTGATGGCTCTGCCCAGAAACCACATAGAACTAGAAGTGGGAGTGGGTGTGTAGAGGGTGGTACAACAGAGTTGCAAGATGAGGTCTTCTTTGGTTCCTGGGTTTTGACATGCTCTTAAATCACAGAGGGTCTACAGAACCTGAATCTCAGTGGCCTTTGGAAAGAGATTGAGGATAATGAATAACAGCAATGAGTATGATGAATGCCTTTGAGAGACTGTATAGTGAGCACCAACTCCACTCATATTTGACATATCTCACTGATTCCTCACCAAGGAACATGTGAGGCAGGGATGTGGGACATCCTGACTTCCAGACTTGTGTTAGAAATCAAGGGTCAGCAGACCGGAGCCAGCAGATCAAATTTGTCCTCACTATCTGTTAGGGCAAAGACATTTTGCTGTAGCAAAGCCATGCTTCTTTTAAATCTATATACTGACTATGGCTGCTTTTAGCAGCAACGTTGAATGGTTGTGATGGATACCTTGCAGCTAGGAAGACAAAACTATGGACACATGGCCCATCACAGAAAGCTGGTGAATGACAGCTCTGATGAAACTTCACTCTACTTCCCACATTTCCTTCCACTTCTCCACGGTGCAACCTGCAGAAATCGCTTTTTCAAAAGTAGTCATAGTACCATGTATGCACCCACACTTAAGTCAGCTTGCATTGTGTTGGCTCAGAAAACAGGTTGGAATCAAATTCAATACAGAATCCACGAGAAGTGATTCCTGGTGTACAGCTCTAAACTAAGGAGTAGAAATTTAGAAGTTAAATCTGCCCCTGGAAGCCTTATTGATTAAGTGAACATTGCACTATCAATTAATCCAGGAAGTATTAAAACTATGTTGTACTATATGGTTCTATTTCTTAAAAAAAATTATTACTTATCGATTACAAATAAATGGAACTTGAAGGGGGAAAGTCAGTAAGCCACTAGAGAAAACGTTCATGAAACAAGAACAACATAACTTATCTTTATGGAAACAACATACACTTACACACTTACCTGTCACAAGCATAAATAGCAACAAATCCACACTGGAAAGGATGGATGGGAACAAATGCTGGCAACAGGGCTGTTTACAATAGAGGTTTGTTTTTTGGTGTGTGTGTGAGGGGGGGCCGGGTTCCTATCCATCTCTAAGGCTTGAAGCATGACCAGAATTACTGCTTTCGAAGGCACTGAAACCATGGCCACTAAGTGTCAATTGAGAGGATCTTTTAAAAACTACCTTTCTTCTTAGAAGAATTTCACATAAATTTCCGTGCCTAGAATTTGGCCTTGGGATAGGAACATTTAGCTAACAGTCACAAGGTGCATCTTGCAGGAACAAGTTCTTGTAGTCAAACATATTAGCACTGCTACATGCTCCATTTTCTCACAGATAAAAGGAAATACAAGCCCCTTTCCAGTGTTCCTCCCTCTCTCCTGATCTACCTAGCTTCACAGACTATATTGATGGAACATGAGTTAAAGGGCATAGGGCTAAGCTGGGCATAAGGGATCCTATCTGCAATCCCAGCACTTAGGAATTCTGAGGCAGAAGGATTGCTGCAAAGTCAAGGCTAGCCTTGGCTACACAGTAAGTTTCAGATGAGTAAAGCAGTTGAGACAAGACTCTGTCTCAATATCATTTTGGGAAGACCCAAGGCTGGCCAGGCCTCCAACTACAGTAGAACAGCTTTGCGTGTAGCCTACACACCTGCTCCCTCCTACTGCTATCTTGTGTAAATTGCCTGATGGAAGGAGAGCTGATGTGTCCCCAACTAGTGCAACTGAGGGCTGTGCTGACAGTGGCCATGCACACTCTTTGGGCTAAGTCAAGGATAGCCGGTGTCTCCTTGAGGCTCTGATAATTCATTATTTGGCCACTATAAAGTGCTAGCAGAACCCCAGTACACAGAAACACAATGTTTGAAGGGTGACTCCTGCCGTGTGTGTAAATGTTCTCTGGGTAATGAAGAGAAACAGGCTTCCTGTCAAGCTAGCCAGCACCTAGCAACCTCAGGCATCCGGAGGGTGTGGATCAAGGGCAGCGAGAGAGCTAAACTCAAGCCTCAGGAACACTTAATGGATAAGTGACACACGACACACTGTGCAGACACCGCGTATTTGAAAGACAAACCAAGCAGATGATTTGCAGCTGTTCCCTCAGGTTGTGTGGGTTTGAAATCAATATATTTCCCTTTTTCGTGTTCCTTGCTCCAGTGTTTATGAAAACTCCAAAGTTGAACTATGAACCAACGATATAATAACAAAAAAAGAATAAGAAAGCAGTGTCTTTAATGTCTTCTTTTGAAAAACTGAGTTGAAGCCCTCTCTATCATTCTAAACAAATAGAAAAGCGACCAGTGGCTGTCGTTATCACCATCTTTAAAAAGTGTGATAGCTGTTGGTATTTCTAACTGTATATATATATAAATATATATATATTAACTTGAGTGGTAAAGGTAAATTTATTATAATTCTTCTATAAAACTCACACAAAATCATTTTGCCAATTAATAGAAAAAAATAAGATCTGTACAAGTAGGAGAGCAAAGGAAGTTTTAGGCTCTTGCCTTAATTGTGAAAATTGTGAATAAGTACCCCAACATTGTTTTATGCCCCACATTGTTCCAGACAGGAGAAGGTTCTAAAGTGCATGAGAAAATCACATGACACAAAGACATCCACATCACACCACAGATCACACCAGCACAGGAAATGACCAACAAGACAAAACATGGAAGGGCCAGGGTTCAAGCGTCACCTCATACACCAAGCACCAAAGAAAAACACACGGAAACTCACGAGGGTATGCTTACTCTATGCCCCACCCTGTGCCTCCAAAAATCACCCCCAGGGCCAGAATGGTGCCAGCCACAGCCCCTATGAGCCTGCTTGTGGCCATGTTCACTGTGTGGAGGGAAAACGGAAATTTTTTTTTAACAGAGGAAATCACACACTGATATCACTATCATACAAAATAATCTCTCCAGGAAATGTTCTGAAAGTTAGCTAAATGTGGATATCTTTGCTTTTAAAGTTTGAAACTGAGATGGACATACACTGGAAAATATATGAAATAATTTTTATCTTCAAACTCTATATACCCTGCTTTAAAGCATAATCCCTTTAAATATTTTTAAGTTCATAAGTAGCCCAATTTGAGTTATAGTTCTTAGCAGTATGAAGTAAAAATTTAATTATATTACAGCAAATCTGCATTTTAATTATAAACTAAACATTAATGCATAATTTTTTCAAACTGCAAAATATGCTTAACATCATCTAAATGAAGAATGCATTATCCAATTTTTTGAAAAGACATTCAAAAGAGTAGCTTTGAAATTCTGTGCAATTTTCCTGTGAAATTATTAAAAGGTACATTCTGAATAACTACAAAGTTTGGATTTCAGTCATAGGAAAGGGACATTTGGTTCTTTGGCCATAGAGTCCAGCATCTATCTGTGTGCTGAGAGGAAGCCAGCATCTCTGAAAACTGTAGAGGTTGCTGTAGGACCAGCAGACAGTTATTGGTGCACAGCAGAAACACCATGCACCACCACTTCTGTGCAAAGCTTTCAAGTGTTGGAAAACAGCCCTGGAACAGGTAAACACCCAACACTTTCTCTACAAGACTACTTACACGAAATCAGATGATTGAAATAGGAAGGAATATTATTTAGGGTTGGTTATGTCTGTAAGTGTTCAGGGGAACTGGTTCACAGACACTCAGCTCTTGTTTCCACATAAATGAAAGGCAGTGAATGCCGATGACCTTACCAACGGTAACAGTTCCCGTCAACAGGACTGTATTACACAGACTGAATGAACACAGGGGAGCAGAACCAGGAGCGGAGAGTCACAGCCGCACTGTAATGGTTCCTAGTGCTCATGGACCTTTTAGTAAGATATTGTCTCAAAG